GCAGGCACACATTGTGCTTGTTCTTTTGTACCTTTCTTTGCTTTCTCTAGTCTTGTTCTTACTGGAGACTCTTTTTCTGATGAGCAAATATTAGTGATGAGGTGAATTTCAGTACAATATTCAACAAAAAACAATAACTGATGTAAAGAGGGCTATTGCACCTTTTCTCTGTTTAAGCAGGGGTTCCCTTCTCTTAGTCTCAGCTTCTGGAGAGGGAAAACACAATAAACAATGTAAAATTAGCTTCCAGATAAAAACACGTATGATTATCTCCAAATTTGTTGGCAGAAATTTGCTCAGCTGAAAATTAATTTTCAAACTTTACAGTGTTTGCTGGCATAATGAGAACATTGTGTCAAATGCACCATAAAGGACGTTTAATTGGAAACTTATATTTTTAATTTTTATTAACTGTGGAAATAAACAAATTTAATTTGAATTTAGGAATAAATTAATTTCCTAAAGTGAAAAATTGGCATGAAATGTCCCATAATGCTGTTGGCTCACAATGCTCTTATATATATATATATATATATATATATATATATATATATATATTACATTATTAATTAGAGTTATTTAACCATCTTTTAAAGCACATAAATACACTTTATCAATAGATTAGTCTACTGCTTCTAGTTTTGCACAGGCTTGTTGAGCTGTACTGCTAAAGCAAGCAGTTTGCTGTAGATATTGGCAGTTGCCTTGAGCTAAACCAGCTTTAATCAAACAAAACAATGCATCACATACTCTTGTGCTCAAGGGTGACTCTTTTAGCTGTGAAATGAAAAACATGAACAAAGACTTGAATCAGACAAAACTGCTTTGTTTAGAGAGAGTTGAAAACTGTCTGCAGTAACAGGTCACTTCATGATGACTAAATCACTGAAAGCTTACTGTACACTGATGAGAAAAGTCTTTGCTAGATCTATACACAATTGATGTTGCAATATATTATACTGCTCTACAAATTAGCACATTAAAGCAGAAATACACCTAATGTCCTAAAGTATTCCTAAGAGTCAGGGTTTTGGTGTAAAAAAAAAAAAAATAAAAAAAAAAATAAATAAATAAAGATATACAGATATGCACCAGGGGGAACTATTGTGTATGTCAAAGCTATTGGAAGTAAGAAAAAAATGCAGATTACTGTTTTATTATAGGTCATAGATGAGATCATATACTTTTCATTCATGTAAAATTAAGCTTCCAAAGCTATAGATAAACAAAAATAGACAAACTAACAGGCCATAAAATACAAGTTACTTGTTATTGACTTATGTTTATAGAACTGTTGTATAAAAATCTGTGGTCTCATGCCTATGATTAAATTATGTCTAAATATGTAGGTCATTACTGAAAAAGCTATTTTACTTAAACTATTTAAATGTATTGTTTATACACTATATACACTATAATGCCCAAGCATAATCCATGATACTCAAAGAAAACATACTTAAAGTTTTTTGTTTAAGTATCTATTATTAACTTCTTGTAATTGTAAATAAATAAATAAAATGAAAATGAACAGAAATAATTATTAGCTACAATAAAAGTCTTTTATTGAATAAACACACCTCTTTTCTTTACTTTATCAGGTTCAGCTGGAAGAAAAAAGGAGAAAAGGGACAATGAGTGACAATTAATGCAGCACTTTAATTCTTAATTCCACTAGATGGCGACTGTGAGTGAACACGTTTGTCTGCATAATATTAGAAATCTCTATACAACAATACAAACCACCAAACATTGCTTTGCTGAGCTCATTAGTGGCCAAAGTTTTGTCTAGCAATTTCAGACATGTTTAGGGAGAGAAACAAAAATTAATCTCGAAGCACAGCTTGTTTTTGATATTCTGTTCTGTAAGCACAACCAAGTTAAATTGTAAAATGAATAATATTTAGTAGAAAGCAGAATGATATGAGATTAGAGTAAGGAGTAAGTGTCAGTAAGAGAGCAAATATTTATGAATTTCTGCTGATACAGAAATTACCCATATGGTCCATAATTCATGCTGTATGCACAATTTATAGTCCTTTGTGTTTATGTGTGTGTGTGTGTGTGCGCGTGCATATGTTGTCTTCATAAAATTATAGTACATCCACCTTTTCATTCACTTCTATACCACTTATGCAAATCTGTTTTTAGGTACACATCATTCGCCAATCCATGATTATATTTTTAGCATGCACTTTATTGCATGTGCAAAATACAAAATACCTCTCGGTCAGTTGTTTTTTTTTATGAAAAGCTCATAATATTTGTTAGAATAGATACCACAAAGATACCGGCATGTCTCTCTAGATCTATGATTTATCCATGAGACATGGCCAGTGTGAATGGCTCTGTTATGCAGAAAACTGAAAATATGCCCAGGCACTTTTATTATATTTTAAAACAACATGCATGATATTGACCTTGCAAGTCAATACCAAATACCTTTTTCTTCCTTTGGTTTAGTGTCTTGGGCTTTTTGAGGCTCTTTATGTATTACTGAATGCATACAAGGACAGGTAGAGGGCTCTTTTTGTTTGTCTGGACACAAACAAATGCAAAATAGTGAGTGTCATTATAGACTACAGTGATTAATTTCATTTCTTGCCTATTTTAGCCATCTCATATGAAACATCGGCTCTGACGTTGTGTGTTTTTTGCTGGCACACTCAGGCTTACTTGTCAACACCACAATCAAATCAATTGTAAAAAATCTATTATGATGTACATGAACAAAAAATGATGAAAGTGTTCAAAAAAAGACAGACTAATGAGAGGTGTATTAGATTAGCCTTGTTTAAATCAACACAGGATGATAAAGATCGCATTGGCAGCCAAACACGGAGATAAATGTCTTCTACAGCTTAATATATTGATGTCATCATCATTAAAACCCATAATGTGCTTATGACATCAGAGGCCAATGGCAGATTTTATGTCCATAAATCAAAATGTTATTACCGAAATTAATTTTTAAAGTGGTGGTAGTAAATCACAGGATACAAATATGACACCTTCATTATAAGTTTGGATAGCATACATTTGTCAGAATTAATGTGACAATTTTTGATTAAATGCCACCCCATCAGTAAAGAGATTGGATTATTGTAACAAAAAGGAAGCCAGCTAAAAATAAAAACAGGTTGACAACCTCGCCAACAAACGGAGATTAACAATAATGACATATCGGAGGATACTGGCTGAGAAGCAGGGAAATGTTTTTAGCGGCTGCAAGAATTCCAAGAAGTCTCTTTGAATATTAATTATACTGAAATTCAAAAAGCTGGTTTTGATTGTGTTGCTTACATGCTCGCGGGGAATTACAGGGAGGTGTCATTCAAAATGCCTTTAACCTAAAATGCTAATGCCTTTTTTGATATCAGTCAACCCTGTAGCCGAGTACATGATCTGTGTTATTAAAACAGCATGCATTCTTCCTTCCTTCCTTCCTCTGTTTTCTCACTGACCTTTGGTGCAGAAGTTTATTAGCTAATAAAACGTATTTACTCTTTTCTGATTAAGATCAGCAGGGGCACTGAAAGCTGTAAGATAGGATATTATCACTATGACTTTGATTTGCCATTGAAACTTCATATATTTAATTTGTGCAGATTTCTGTATGAAATGACATCAGGATAAATTCACTAAACAGTTGTGCTGCTTTTGCGCATTAAACTACAATCACAATCCAGTGTAGCTAGACACTATCTGCGTTGGTATAGCGCTGCTCAATGTGTATTTAAAGTCACTGTCACTAATTTCTGAAGGAAATTAATAAAATTAAAATAAAATAATAAAATAAAATTAAGCAACACTATACACACTATAATTGTGTACTGACACTCTTCTCTTTTTAAAAATACAATAAAAAATTAAATAAAAGAAAAACTTAAATATAAAATAAAATGGTTCTCTATTTAGAGACAATAGCAGCACTTACACTGTAATTGTGTATGGTTCTAAAATAAAATAAAATAAAATAAAAATAATTAAATTAAATTTTCTCTACTTGGGGACAACAGTAGCACTTACACTGTAATTGTGTACTGACCTTTTAAATAAAATAAAATCCAATCAAAATAATAAAATAAAATTCAATTAAAACTTCTCTACTTGGGGACAATAGTAGCACTTACACTGTAATTGTGTACTGAGCTTTTAAATAAAACAAAACAAAACAAAAACAAAACAAAATAAAATAACATTTTCTCTATTTGGGGACAAAAGTAGCGCTTGCACTGTTACTGTGTACCGACCTTTTAAATCAAAATGAAAAAAAAAAAATAAAATAAATAAATATAATAAGTTACTCTATTTAGAAACAATAGCTGCACTGTAATTACATACTGACCTTCTTTTTCAGCCTCTGCCACAGGTTTCTCTGCTTCTTTTTCTTTCACTTCCTCGGCTGCTGGTGTTTTAAGAAATAAAGCAAACAAAACAAAAGGTGATTGTTTCAGGCCCAGAAAGAAAATAGAAAGACAAAAGACACAGACATGTACTTGCTTACACACACACACAGACACATCCACACAATGCCAACTTTGATGTTCAGATCTTTTTTGTACTTTGTTTGTGCTTTCTGTGCAGACTGTTCAACCCCATGGGTCAAAATGGATCTCTTCAAGTCCCACAATTTTGCTCTCTCTCCCCTAACAACAGGCTTCTTTCTCTCAGCAGGGATTTATTCTATTGCGTGCAACATATCTAATGATGTTCTTGATAGAGGAATGACAGAGTATCTGCTGTTTGCCTGCAGGCAGGGCCGAGATTCTCATTTTTCTAGCCTGCTCTCTGCAGTAAATGGAATGGGGTGATGTTATTGCTGTAATTTTCTGTGGAGCACAACATTTTAAGAACTAAAGTATAAAGTAGTAAAGTCAAAAACAAGTCAAATCTATTTGAGTTAACCTTGTCAATAAAACAGATCAGCAGGACAAAACCCTGTGATATTTTTGGACATGAAACAGTTGGAAAAAGACTCCAGAATATTCCTTGATGATGGAGCCAAAGCAAGCACACACACTGCATTATGGACATTTTACAATTAGACTGTATTGCTGGCATTTATTTACTGAATAACACTGAATTATACACTTTTAATACACTTTAATAAAATAAAATAAACACACACACACACACACACACACACGCACGCACGCACGCACGC